AGGGGGACTTTTGTTTTTTTTTTTTTTTTTTTTTTTTTTTTATGTAGCTTTAGTCCATCAGAAAATTATAAGATCTTCTTCATCGGTTTAGTGTGCTTACATTTCTTTTTTAAACTAGATCTAAAAGAAAATGTTTAATATTTAAAGCTTTTTAAATGCTGAGTATGCATGAGAAGACAGCTACCTAACATTGGCATCCCACTGGCAAATGGCAACCTTCATGAGCTGCAAGAAAGTCAGAAACGACCAAATACCCAGAGCTGAGCAGTAAGAACATATTCTGTGCCAACGACACCGGTGCCGGCATCTAGTCTACAGCAGGGGTGTCAAACTCATTTTCATTTTGGACCATATCAAGATCATATCAGTCTCCTGGGGCATAAATACCACAACATCCACACTGAATTTAAGCATGCCATTCAGAGATGTACTGGCTGGCGTGTTTTGTCTTGCTTGCATAACCCAAGCGTGGGCACAAGGTCACAGACTGAAGGCTGGACAGTCTCCTCTCAGATTTTCTGATAGAAAGCAGAATTCAGCCTCCACCATTTATAGAAAGTTGTCCAGGTCCTTTAACAGCAAAACAGCCTCACATCTTTCAAAAAGGTTGATTTGTTGTTTCATCAGCCCACAGAAAATGTTCCCAAAAGACTTGGGTATCAGGAAGTTATTTTTCTATAGAATGTTTTTCTGGTTATTCTAGTTATTTTTTTGGTCAGCAGTTTTTGCCCGATCTTATTTTTATTGTTGAATGATGGACACAGAGACAAGTGAGTCCTGCAGTGCTCTTACTGTGGTTAACTGGAGTCCCAAATGAACAGTGTGATGTTGTGATTGCATGGTGAGCTGAAAAAATCATTGACTGGGAGGCTGGCAATGTTGTTGGATTTGAATGAAAGCAAGTTTTGCACACAGAGGCTTCATTTTCCCTTCATTGACTTAAGAAAAGACAGTGTTAGCATTTCTGCAAGGTGGAGTTCAGCTGTTATTTACTTGGGAGTCTGTATGAAGAATGTACTTACACACATTTACAAAGCAGTCATGACACAGGACTTACTCTAATAGCTTAACACTGTGTTGAGTCAGATGTCCTTGGTGTGGGTAAGGGCTGTTGAATTCAGATATTTCCTTATGATTAGAAATCATTGTTGAAGCCTTTCCCTCTCTCACACATACTTGTTAATTTCTTCAAAAACAGCACACTGACCTTGATCTGTGTTGGATTTGAATTATCAGAATAATTTCAAGGTTTATGGCTGCAGTTTTCTGCTCTGCAGCACGGAAAGGCAATAATTTATCGTCAGAAGTTAACAGGGTAATTGATTATTACCAAGGACACGTTGACTACTAGACCAACAGCAGAGATTTTTGGAATTCAAGGCTCATTCTGCTGCCTGTGGGATTTTTAATATTAAAGTCTAATATAAAGCAGACTTCCAGTGGGGATGTGATGACTCTAGTTCAGACAGAAGTTATTGGATGGATTGCCACGAAATGTGCTTCTGACATTTATGGATCTCAGACAATGAACTGCAGTGACAGTTTTGATTTTTTGAGAGGACGACAGAATTGATAATTGATGAATTTCTGCCTGTCTAACAGATCCTTTGGAAGAAGCGTAAAAACCATCTTTTAGTTATTAAATGAATCAGTTTTTAACAGTGTATCTTTAATTTAATGCCACAATGTAATACCACCATAATAAAACATGACTTTAATGTTTACTGCACTATTATAAACTATTCCCCTCATCTTTCCGATATTCCATTAGTACACATGTGAATGTGAGTAACAAACCCCCACAGAGGCGACTTATGGCAGCTGTTAGGCTTTGTTAAATCTCTTTTCATCTCAGGGGATGCTTTTTGTTAGAGATGGATTAAATCTTTTTCCTCATTGACTCACTATGAAAAACAAACATCTCTGACATGAATTTTACATTGAAGCTCCACAGAAAGCAAAGGGAGCCTGCAGAAAGACAATTAATTTTGGGTTCCTCATTCCACTTGTCCTTGGATTCATTTTTGCCAAACATGCCTGGACTGAGACCAGATAAAAATGTTAATCAGCAGAGCATGGCCTTAAAACAAGTTGAACCCAGTTTGACAATTATGCATGACAGATTTCAGGAGCTAGAGTGTCTTTGCCAAGCAGCTGCTGATGAAAATCTTAAGATTTACAGAAACAAATTTGATTTTCTCAGTGGAGTTTAATCACTACAAGACAAAGTGGTCTCCAGAGGAAGGGGTCTAATCCAAAACTTTGACTTGAGTTGTAGCTAAAGAGATTGCTTTGGAAAATAAATCAACTAAAATTAAAATTTTCATATCACAAAGCTATCACATAAGCTGTGTTAGCACCTTTGACCTGAAGCCATAAACATTTTGACATAAAGTTAAGGATATTTTACATTCTATTTGTCATATGATGATTTGCAGCTATGAATGGACAAAATCTGTTAGTGAACTTGCTGCGTCTTTGGAGAAGCTCCTCAGTGTAAAATAAAAGGATCAAAAGATTAAGACTAAGAGTATAAAAACACTTCAGTTTTTGCTGCATCTGCTGAAATCCTCCAGTCTTTAACATTCACAGGTTAAGGTGTTAGTCCTCTGCGCTTGTGCTGAATGCAAAGTGTTAAACTGATGAATATGCAGGACAGCTTGTGAATTTCTGTGTGTGTGTGTGTTTTTACTTTACATATACTTGTGTGTAAGTGTGGACAGAAAACAAATGGTGCCCATGTCGGGCCACACATCACATTTGCTGTTGCCCCTGGTGATGCAGTTACCAATCAGTGGTCTCCATTGGTTACCTAAACATTGTGGCCGGTGTGGATAAAAAGAGAGACGGAGCAACATGGAAACACAGCACCTTACATCACTACGCATTTTTCTGTCACTCCTGCTATTCTGCAAGGTGCTTTTCCAACTATTCCTATTCCTAGCCTTTTGCAGGCCATACCGCAAATTGGATTAAGGTCCAATCTTCATTTTGTTCTCATTCTTTTGCAGCTATTCAGTGGTGCACCATTGCTGCATAACCTAAGTAAGCTTGAGCTTAAGGTTACAAGCCAATTTCCAGCCTTTCTCCTTCAGGATTTTCTGGTTGACAGCAGAATTCATGATTCCATCAACTAAGACCTGAAGCTGCAAACCAGGCATTGGCTATCACTATCACTACAATAGTTTACTGCTGAAATCTTTTCCTTTTTCATTGAAACTGGACTCATATTTTCCAGAAAAGGTTCATAGTTTGCTTTATCAATCCATAGGATACTTTACTCTTCCATTGATGTAATTTTTGTTCAGTGTGTTTCTTATTGCTGAATAATGAACATTAGTTGAAAGGAGCTCTTTGTTGATTCAGATGCTGCCTTTGGTTCTTTTACGGTCTCATGGAAGAGGTGTTGATTCACTCTTGGAGTCATTTTGTTACACTGTTCCGTATTTTTTCCATTTGCAGATAATGGAGTTTCAATACATTTGAAATGGCTTTGTAAACCATTCTAGGCTAATGGATGTTGATGACTTAACTTCTACTCAGTGTTTTATTGATATAATTTTTAGCTTGAGCTCCATTAAATGACTTCATGTAGTTTCTATTTGGATGTTTGTTTGTTTTTTTAATTCTACAGGGTTGGCAGTATTCACGCTTGTTCAATAAGTGGCATAACTTGTCAAACAAGTTTGCTAAAGCAGTTAATTGATGGACTAACAAAGAGAGTGATTAGTTTTTTAAATATTTGACAATAATTGAACCAAAGATGTACATGACAATTGGAGGCTGGCCCGTGTGTTTGGATCCAACATACAAACTACTTTTACTTTAACTGATGAAAAGGTTTCTGCTAATACTGATTGAGAGGCGACAGAAGAAAGGATTCATAATGTGGTGCATGTGGTGAGATGTCATAAAATCAATCTGCATATTGCTTTATAATTTAAAACCCTGACATAATTTTAAAAATATTCCATATTCAAGGTTCTTCAAGCATTATTAAAGCTTAGTATGTGAAAAATAGGTTATTTACATCAATGCATTTGTTGCAAACCACAATAATAAAATGCCAATTTAATATTTTAAAAACATAATACCTTCATATTTTCCATATTAATATTCAGACTGCTGTAATTCCAGACAAAAAGTATTAGTAAAGTTCACTTTCCCTCTTTTAAAATCTTTGTCTTCCCTTCTTTGCTCATTGCACTTACGTTCTCCTTGTACTTTTCTCCTTCCTGTCCTTCATCCCCTCTTTCCTAGCATGGCCGTACCGAGTTTTCCTGGGAAGGAATCAATGTAAGTGTCCTAGTATAAATCTCCCCCCTCCCCCGCCACTTTTTTTTTTAAAATCTCCTGTCATTTTGCCCTCCACCTCTCACCAACTACCTGAGTTTGAGCTGTACGAACATAAGTCGACAGCCTGCTTGTTTATCCGTCCACTCCTTCTTGCCACTCTTTCTCTCCGTCTTATCTCCCTTTGCCACCACCCCTCTCTTATCCCTGTTTCTTCCGTTTTCCACCTGTAAATTCTCAGTCACCCAGCTCCTTTTTAAGTCCTCTACTAATCTACTATACTGCAAGCAATATATACTTCCCATATGTACAGAATCACAGATAACAGGCTGTAATAGGCTTATCTCATCCACAGCTGAGTCCCAGTTTCACTGAAAGCAGAGCAGGATAAAATGCACCTTTAATGAATTGTTTGTGTATCTTCAGCAGAATTTATGTCCACCTGTAAATTTGTTTTGTCTCAAAGCAAATGAAATTTCAGTGATGTAGCCAAACCTTGTCATGTTATTCTTGAAAACTTGAAAAGTAGAAAACACATTTGACAAACATAAACCTGCAAAGCTGTGAATAAAAATAACATATTATGAGGAGATCAACAATTTGATTGTAAAGTTTAGGAGGAATGAGAAAAACAAGAATATGTTTGGGATGTTTAAACCATATGGTGCAATATATTAAGATAGAGCACTTAAGATTTTAACAGAAAATATTTTACAAGTGAATTCTAAATATCAGCTGCTTGGCAAAGTGAAGAGAGGGAACAAAACATACAAAATTAATACTTCAAAATTATTCTTATAATGTATTTATAAAAAGAAATGTCACCTCAACAGTAACTCATTCTAGTCAATGCCAAATGTTTGGAAGTGGATGTCGGATTATCCATGTAGTAAAGAGATGATGAAATGAGATGTTACATAACAATATGCACCAGATATTTACAGTACATATGCTTTATCAAAAGATTTTTTCGTCCAAATGCCTGATAATAAAGTTCCAAAAAAAAGAGTTATTTTTCAAATTCAGGAATTTGCTTACATTTACTTAATATTTGATAGATTTACCTTTTGATTTGTATGACTTGGGTCTAATGTTTGGGGTCATCTTAAAGCTTTCAGTTGGACCGAGATCAGAGCTTTGTTATGGATGACCACTCCACTTTGTAGCTAATTTAGTGGTATGCTTTGTGTCGCTGTCCACTTGGAGGACACAGTCGAGATGAGCTTCTCTGTTGCCGCCTTTTCCCTTCAAATGTAAGGACGGTTCCTATAATCACACATATTAACCTTAGAAATGGCAAAATGTTGTATTCTGTTCATTATATTTGTGAAACAATTATTTATTCAGGCTCAATTTTTAAAGTTTCTCAGCTTACCATGTTACCAAACAGTTGGCAGTTCAGTCCAGAAACCAAGATTAATGGGAGCTATGGTAAACGGTCTGCAGCTGTATAGCGGTACGTTGGTGGTTAATAAAGCTTCAAGAGTAACACTAAAAGAACACTAAAATATGGATGAAAAGTACCAAATGAATGCAGTATCTCAAGTTTTGCAGTTAAGTAAGGAGGTTAGATCAGAAGATAATGTATTTGTTCATCTGATTCTTCTTTTATTCAGTCATCCTGCTGTAGATTTGCTGCTGTGTTGTGAAAGATCATGAGGCCGTTTCACTGTACAGATGCAAAGCTAGATCTCAGACTAAGTTAGTCAGGTGATGTAAAACATGATTGAAGAATATAGCAGTGTACAGATAAGTCAATGCTAGATTTAAAGGCTACAGGGTTACAAAGTGATTGCGGAACAAACCCAATCATTGGTTCTTTTTCAGTTATTAACAACTGATTGAAAATATGTTTGTGGTAAATAAAAGACTTTCTTCTTGTGATATTTACAGATAAGCAAAAGTTGGCACGTTGTTTCATAGCCATTATATTTTAATGTTTTGACAATAATATGAGTATTTCTTTTTTGATTTATGTAAGCAAAGCTCTTATTGGGATTTTCTCTTCTGAAAACACCAGCTTAGTTACTGGAAAGCAATCAATGAACCAAAAAGCCTTTCTGGTTTGATAAACTGCTGCAGATGCTTTTCAGAAATCAGTATTGACTTTTTGTTAGTATGTTCATCCTCAAGGGTAGCAAAGTACCAAAATATGTGTTTTTATAGAAATGTTTAAAGAAAAAAAAGTCACTACTTTATGTTTAAAGATTACATCTTTTAGCAGCCAGGAAGAAAACAGTGACTTTAGCTTTCAGAAAGCATAATCAATCTGCTGCAGCCAGAATTGTAATTGTTTACTTCTCTAATTTCTGTTTTTTAGTAAGTTTAGTTACAACTAACAGGTGTCATGTTTTATTAGTCACAGTGACTTTTTCAATGTTTTTATCTCATATTTTATCTACAATCTTGTTTATTTTTATTTGAGTTAAGTAACATTCAGTTTCATAGGCAACTTAACAGGTTTTGTTTTACTCAGAAATTAACTTTTAGCTATGATGATGCAATTGGTTACAATATCTGGTTATACCCTGAAGAAGATCCATGGAAAAACAAAATCTAATGATGAAAGATTTTATTATAAGTAAAGATGCAATGATCAGAATTTTGTGGTTAATTCTGGTCTAGTTTTGTATGTCGTTAGTTTACCTGAAGAATTTTGCCAACATTTCCAAATGTGTCATGAAAGAGAAGGCTTGAAAACTCAAAGGGCAAAATAGAAAACTTTACTTTGTTATCTTTGGCCTTCCTGTTATCTGGTTTAGATCCTGCTCTCTTTTCCTGTCTGACAAGCTGCAATAAAGTTAGTTCTTGATGAGCTGTAGAAAATGTATATATTTTTTTCCTTTTAAAAATCTTCTTACTTCTCTGTGCATTTGCTGACTTTATTTTTAAATACCTCACTGAAAACTATACCTGATGATGCCGATGTATGGTGGTACGGTGTATTTAATTACAAAAAAAAAAAAAAACACCTGAGATTTTTGAGTTTCCAAACATTCAGGCTTAAAACCGGCTGAATTCAATCACCAGCCAACGTTGCTGTGAATTTCTCATTATCGTTCAAACATTTCCTACTTAACTGTTATTTGCCTATTTAACAACTACTACATGCGCCACATCTTTAATATTATTCTGTGCAGAGAATCCTTCTTCAATTGGGGTTGATGCATTTTAAATCACTCAAACCTTTGCTGCATCACTTTTACATCGTCAGTGCTCCTTTAGCTATCATATGGTTTTCTTCTTAAATCAAAGATGCTAGTATTCAGGTTACAATGTGCTAAAATAATTAACCCTCCTTTCTTATTTTTTTCCCAGTAACCTCTCTCCTCTGTTATTTCATCTCCTTCAAACTGTTCTCTGAATCTTCAGTCACCTGGTCTTTTCATCCCAATTTCTTTTTAAATCCTCTCTCTTATTCATCTTCCCTGTCTATTCTTATTCTGTCATTTTCCATGTCACATTGATTTTCCATCTCCTTATCTTATCACCGACATCTTTCACTACTCCTCACACTTTATCCCCCATTTTCACATCTTTGCTCACTAACATTTGGATTCAACCATGCTGTACTCCTCCCTTCTTTCTTTAGTTGTCTATGGAGGATACTACTTCTATTCTGCCTCGACTCAAGAGGAAGTCCACCAACGCCTACGGGATTGGTGCCCTGGCTAAGTCCTCTCTGACAGGTGTGTCAGGTGTGTGTCTGTGCTAGTAGGTGGTAAAACAGCCCCCATGTTGCCTCCACATGCTCCACAGTGGGTCAAGGGTGAAGTTGTTGTTGACTGTTAAGGTCTGAGCTTTCATTTGTGTAAAATATTATTCTTGTTTCTTGGTGTGATACTCAAATGGTTATTGGTTTCTCCGTTAAATAATCGCCTTACGATCGGATTTAACTTTAATCATCTGTCAACATCTCTGTGCTAGTCAGAATATGTATTATTCAAATTATTCAATGTTTATTTAGCGCCATCTTACAACAAATCTTTGTTATAGTTAGACTGTAACAAACTGTAATTAAATATGTCAGTAAATTTATTCCAAACAAATAAACCTAATCTTATTTCAATTTAATTTCAATTGTTTGCTTGCAATTACATATGCGTGGAATGCTGATCGATTCATTGTCTTGGCTAGTTAATAAAGTTGCTTTTTGCTAAAGAGGTAATGAGATAAATTTATACCATCACAGAGGAGGGAGAGCAAGAAAAGCAACAAAAAGAGAGAAAAAGACAAAGCACAGAGGATTTGGAAATTTAGCTGCAAATCTAGACCATAATTATGTTTCAACAATTAAATTCAGCACTTTGTTTCTTATGGCGTCATCAACATTTTTTGATTCTTGACTTGATGAAGATCTAAGTGTGCTTAAAATAATGTTAAAAATGTAGCGATCAACCCAGTGCCTTCCATTAACATATTTTTGGAAACAGTCCTGCATCTTCATGTGTATGATGTGACAACTTTCCCTTCTTTCTACCATTAACAGCATCAAGACCACTGAACATAAGTTGTGTTTTTTGACTACAAGACTATCCACCAATTCCAACATAATGCTGTAAAGAGTTAATGCAATACCACAAGTAATGATGCAAATCATAATTTCACAGAAAGTGTTTGCTTTTCTTCATGTTTCTTTCTTTGGCAGTAATTTTTTTTTTAAATTAAGTTATCATTTTATGCTTTGCAAATTCACAGTCCCTATTTTACATTATTTTCATTGTGTTATGTTTATTTGAAAGAACTCTGTGGAAGCCTAAAGCTAAAACTTTGCTACTTAACGGGACTTATGAAGAAAACATTTTCACCAAGTCTGCTCAATATTAAATTTAAGTAATATTTTGAAGGACAGGGACATTTTATGTTTTACCAAACTAAACACAAAGTGTTTTACAAAAAAAAACAAAAAAAAAACATATAGAGGAGACGTATAAGCTGTAATCAGTTCATATAGGATTCCCAAAATCAACCTCAATCTCAGAAAGTATTTTTTTAAAGTGCTTAGTAGACCAAATAACCATCTGACACACACAAAGAAAGCACATAAATGATCTCTTCACCTTAGCAACAAATGTCAGATTTTGTAAATCCAGCCTTGCATCAACAGACGACCTTCATTCTTGACCAGGAGGAGGAAAAGGAGCTTGGAACCAACATGACCGCCCCTGTGGGTGCCCCTTCCTATATCACTTCCTACTTTTCTCCTCTCTCTCATTGATATCAACAGCTGACGTCAATGACACATGTCAGAGTCATTGATGGAAATCCAATCAGGTCTTTGATTTCAAAGAAACTAAAGTAAGTGATATAACTTACTTTAACTGCCTACTGAAGCATCACCACAGGCGTGTTGGGGAATGTAGTGTACTGTAATGTGGCAGTGCTGGTGCTGGTGTTAAATATCTGTGAAGTCGCTGCAGTGTTGTGACTACCAGTGGTTGGTTCTTCTTCTTCTGTGACGTCTCTTGTGCTCTTTGCTTCCGACTGTAGCGCTCTGTGCTTGGCATTGTGTATCATCTTCTAGTGTTTGTAAAAAAAAAAACAATTGTTATGTCTAGTGTATTTGAAAGAAATGTGTTGGATTTGCTTCACAGTGCATAGAATCATTTGAATTGCCAAGACCCCAACACCCTCCCTCATCCTTCATCCCCATTTACTCCATTCCTGTTTCCACCCCCAATTAGGCTCCGCAGTAAGAGTTTGATTTTCAAATGAGATTGGCTCTTTTTGTCTTTGGGGACAATTGTGTCTATTTATAGCTCAGCCTGAAACCTGCCCCGTGGACCTGGGGAGTCATTTCCAAAGCTCTGTCTCTGTTTATTCATGCCTGCTTGATTTTAATTACTTTTTTTCTATCAATCAGCCCCTCTGCACCCATTTGATTTAAAGAATATGCCCCTAGTTTGAATCCAGTATTTGCATCTTAATTGGACAAAGATTTAAGAGGGAACCATTATTCTCCTTAAGAAAGCAAAATATGGACCTAAAATTCGATGACAATATTTTCTGGGGGTTTACTGGAATGATGAATTTATCACTACATACAGAAATGTTGGAGCTGCACCAGCTTTATCAAATAGGCTTCTCCTTAGGTCAAGTTACATTAAGGATAGTGACTATTCAGGCAATCATTACATGGTTATATTTTATGTCAATCAGTGAACAGTGCACCGTTTTTAAGAAACTGAACGTCTATTCACACGGTAAAATATTAATATTTTTTGGGTTTCCACTGACAAAAGAAAACATATGAATTCAGTAAATACAACTGGTGATCATCTTAATGCAGAAAAACAGATTTCAAACACGTTCAACTCAGTTAAATTTATTTAGATTAAATTTAACTAGATTTAACTAAAGTAATTTAGTTTAATTCAGTTTGACTGACTCAAACGAGTCTACATTAAAACTTCAAACTTTATAAAAAAAGCAAAACAAATGCAGAAAGCTTAATATCAGTTCTCTAATTTATTAACATTTTAATCAATTTTTAAAAAAAATGAGATTCATAAAAAAAATCCCATAAAAAGAATCTTAGATAATGTGTATCTATCTCATCCTGAGAAAGCACGAGGTGACAGAGGACAGGAATGGTTCTCTTTAAAAAAGGAGAAGCCTCCTCCACATCCAGGCTTTTATAAGCGGACATATGCACTGACAGAATTGAGTTTGCTTGTATTTTGTTGGTCAAATTGCAATATTACTCAAGCAATTTCCCATGTGACAGTCGGAGTGGCAGTGCATCTGAACGGGGCATTCAAGTCACAGCTGCTCTTGTCTTTTTCTGAGCTGTTTTAACTTTTGTTGGCATAAAAAGGAAGTGAATTAAGCTATTTTACATTTTTTTAAAAAAACCAGGTGACTTCCTGGTGCAGAGTGAGCGTATTTTTGTTCTAAGCAAAGTAGGTGCTCGGTTTTACTGATCATCTCACACCTTGTCACTTGAGTTCATGCATTACAGTACATTTAATGCCTCACTGACGTCTTCTGTCATAGTATCTAGGATTAAAAAGATCCACTACATTACAGTTTCTCATCCTCATTCTACCTCCTCTCCATGCCTCAGTTGGAGGTGTAGTTTTTTTTTTTCAGAGGGTCAGAAGATGTTTTGACAGTGTGTGTGTGTGTGTGTGTGTGTGTGTGTGTGTGTGTGTGTGTGTGTGTGTGTGTG